AAATTTGAATAGAGTGAAAATATAAAATAAATTATATGATAAAAAACCATAATCTTTAATTATAGATATGCAAACCATCATTGTATATTATTATGGATGTATGTCGGTAAGTGTATGATTGTTAAGTATAATTAATATCTGAAATGGTTTAAAAAATAAACAAAATACTAGGTCTAGGTGGTTAGTTTTTCCTCCGATCAAAAGTTATTGTTTTGGTAGAAAATCATGAATACATTTATATTATGGTAAATATTAAAGTATAAGGCTCATAACACTACAAATGACAAAATATGTTGCTTTACTTGTTCGAGTCTTAATCAAGTAATACTTTTAATAAGTAGTGAAAATGTATAAATCACGATATGATTTAAAATGTTGTTTTCGAAAACAAAACTTGAAACTTATTATTTCTATATATTCAACGCAAAGCATAAACACGTTTTGTTTTTGTTTGTTTTTTTGTTTTTTTTGGTATGATAGGGCTAAATAATAGAATATTCTAGAAGTTTTTTTATAACTTATTATTATAGACGTTTTTTTAATTGACCCCTTAATACTATTTAGACTACATGAATTTTTTATTTTGAGAATTCAATATATATTATTAGTTAATTAATTAATTAATTAATTTTTCTTTTTTAGAACAGTGGGCTAGTATATGTTTGAGATAGAACCCAAGACCTCTTTGTTAGACACCTTGTTAGCTAAGTATGCTAGACACAACTTGTCAATATATATTATTAAGTGGTCAATACAATTTCATAACATGTACATCTCACCCCTATATAAATAAAGAATGAATATAGTTTTTTTTGTACGATCGTATTAAAATATGATTTATGTTTAAAAATTGACTAATTAAATGAGATTGTTTTTTTAAAACATTTTAGATAGATGATGATATGTTAGTTAATTTATAAAAAAACTATTTAAATAAGCTAAACCACTGAAAGTGTTTTATTTGGAGGTGAATATTGATGAAATGACATTTATTTTAAGTCATAAGTTAGTGTAGAAAAATTAAAAATATATTGACCATTCTACATATTAAGTGGTAAAAAAAACTATGTAGTCGAATGGTATTAAGTGCTCGATAAATAAAAATCACTAATAAGAAGTTATAAAAAAGACTACTAACTAATATTCTTTGAAAAATAATACGTTTTATTTAATATTAAAATATGATCATATTATCAATATAAATATGAATATATACTTTATATAAATATGTAAAATAAGGATCAAACATGTAATAATTCAAGTTACATAATATAAATGATTAAAATAAAAATCATATATACAATAAAGGTAATTATATTCCCAAACTCCCATCACCACCAACACCAACAACAGCAGCAACAGACTAATCTGTGCAACGCGTGGAATAAATTTGGCAAGCGGTACACCCAAACTCCCATCACCACCAACACCAACACCAAAATGTAACTTCATGTCCTCCATCAATCCCTCCACCACTTTTTTCAACGACATCTCTATGAGTTGATCTAGTTTAGTGACGCGACTGCCTGCTTCGGGCATCAAATAATCCACCCAGTGATGAGGTCTCCCATTGCTCATGAACGTGTTCAATATATGCATAATTGTTTCATCAAGTACACTAAAATTGAAGATATCCCTCAACTGCTTTCTGCAAATAACAATCAATAGAATATATACAACATCAGTTTCACTGATGTTGTATTTTTCACTTTAAGATCATCATGCATTCGAGTTGATGATCTTGTATCAGCCACTTAATTCTATTTATTATAACCAAACCAGCAGCACAGACTGGAGTGTGTTAGCTTCAAAACTACCCTTCTAACCAACCATATCATATCTCATTCCAACCACATGAAGGCAAGCTATAGTTAATTATTATTATTGTCCATCAAGATGATCCCTGCAACAAACTCTAACTAAAACTGTCGTCTACAATAATACCCAACCAAAATCAAACCTCTTTTTGAAATCAATTATCAACAACTTTGCAGATAATCAAAATCAAATTTGATCAACAGACAAAACATTATTTTTCTTAAAAGAACTAAAGATCCAATATCCAGACCAAAGCTCAAGATGTCAATAGTGGAATCACACACACAAACAAAAAAGTAATAGTAATCTGAATCTGAATCTTGTAGGTCAAA